AAAAATATTAGCATTGTATATTATTCAATATATTCCACATTTTATTAACATGTATTATTATTTTGTAAATAATATATATTAATAATTTACTACAAGTTTAATATAATAGTTAATAATTCATGTATACATAACTAAATAATACCTACATAACTAATATCCACATAGCTAATACCCGCATAATTAAACCCTGCATAACTAATACCTGCATAACTAAATCCTGCATAACTAAACCCTGCATAATTAATACCTGCATAACTAAACCCTGCATAACTAATACCTGCATAACTAAATCCTGCATAACTAAACCCTGCATAATTAATACCTGCATAACTAAACCCTGCATAACTAATACCTGCATAACTAAATCCTGCATAACTAAACCCTGCATAATTAATACCTGCATAACTAAACCCTGCATAACTAATACCTGCATAACTAAATCCTGCATAACTAAACCCTGCATAATTAATACCTGCATAACTAAACCCTGCATAACTAATACCTGCATAACTAAACCCTGTATAACTAATACCTGCATAACTCTAACCAGTAACCAAACGGCCCCTTAGTACATAAACATCATGTGCAGCTAAGCATTTTACAGCTGTATGTAATTTTGTTGGTATTACTCAAATTCTTGGATATAAAATTTCTGCTAAAAATATATTCTTAGGTGGAAAATATTGTTTTTTTAACAGACTAGGCAACATAAAAGAGTTGTCATGTCACTGTCTTCACGAGTTTCTTGAGCAATTAAGCTAACTTTATATAAGTTTTAGTAAGTGCGTCCAGCCATAATTTCATTTTAATTTATTTTGATTTTTCCAATAGTCTTATATATATATATATATATATATATGGACAGTTGTCCCTTTTCCCCACTTTAATTGACCAAAATTTATTGATGTAACACCATTTGACAAAGAATTTAACCAAAAAAAAAAATGATATTTTGGAAATTTATGACTTAAAATAATTGTAAAATATTTGTGTAGCTATACATAATCTTATCTAAAGTTATTTTTTATACATAATTATTTTTTTAGATATAGTAAAAAAAATGTACCACATAAATTCAAACTAAGAGAGTAGGTTTATCACTTTGATTAGATATTAAAAAAAGTTGATGTGGTCAGATTATATTTAACAGCAAAAATTAGCTTAATCCTAAGTCCAGAAAAAACAGTGAATTTTGTATATCAATCTACTATACATATACATACTATATATGGACCAAAGTCCAAACAGAGCTTATGATATTGAGAATACATGTACCCAATCCTGATAAATTTGAAATTGATACGTAGTAATTAATAATTTTTTATTATAATAATATATACGCACACTTTTTTTTTAAAAAAAATGGATATTTATGGATAAAATAATTGTAGAGCCGGTTGGCATTTGAAATAATTGGAGGAGGATTAACCATGTGCTCTAAAATGAACCATACATACTCTTTTGATTCTTTTCATATGTTAATTATTGCTTCATGCTTAGTGTAACAAAACAACAAATGTTTTAAAAAAATTATCAGCTTATAGTCTTGTAAGCTAACTCTCCAACAATATTCCACACAAAGGCCAAAAAAAAAAAAAAACATATAGACAAAAGACAACTATATGGAAATATGAGATAAGAAGAGATCACTTACCAAGATTCCTTTAAGATTAATGATATTCTTGTTAGCCTTCTTGTTGTGATACAAAATTGTATGTGCCAATTGAGGTACGTAATGTCCCGCGTAACTCTCTCCAGCTATGTAAAAATCTCTATCTTTATATTCAGGAAACCTTTCAAGCCAATTTATTATAAATCGATAATTATCATTAGCTGTTTTCCTATCTCCTCCAATCTTAACATCACTTGATGTATTAGAGTATGAAAATCCTACTCCAGCTGGAGACTCCACGAACAACACATTGGCAGCTAATAATAGTTAGCAACAAAAAAAAATAAAAATTAATACTAATTTAAAGTAGTAAAATTATTTAATTAAGTGAAAAAATGAATTTTACCATGGTTCCATGCGAAATTATTTATGTGAAGTGTTTTTCCATCACTATTTACTCTAAATGGTCCAAGTTCTTGAAAGGCTCCATATGCCAGAGAAGAACAACCTGGACCTGTCCCCCAAGAAACAATGATAAATCGATTAATTACCAATAATTACATATTAAAATGCAACAAAATAGTTGAGATAACTACCTCCATTAAGCCATAGAAGAAGAGGCAATGACTTGTTAGAAAGTTGAGCTTCAACAAAGTAATAATAAAAAGCTCGTCCAGCAGATTCATCAATCGTAATGTATCCACCATATTGCTCAAATTTTACTAGAGGCTGGCCAGGAAGTTTCTGAATCCTGTCATTTGCCTTCTTCAAATCCTCTTGATTAGAAATTACATTTTTTTTATTAGATGCAATATGAAGATCATCAAAATTTGATGCATCAAAAAGACTTTTGTCAATGTTGGAATTTTTCTTCAACTTGTAAAATTGGCCAAGGGTATCACTTTGTGTTTTGGTAGCTCCTCCATTGATAATTTGAGAGATGATGGTTGAAAGAAAGAGAGTGACCAATAAAAGAGAAGAAGTAGTTGTGGACTTCATCAAAACTAATTATTTGTTTGTTTCTCTTTGAGAAACTTTATTAAATAGTGTAAAAGATAAAAGGGCTTTTATATCATTTTATAGGTATGGGATTTTCAAACAACTAAGAATGGATCACATATAATAATCCAAAAAAACAACTATATATAGTACTTTAAATTGGGAAAACCAACTTTGCAGCACATGATGTTTATCCAATAAAAAATTTGAATTGAGTGAGATGATAGAAAAAAAGAGTTTAAGTTAAATAAATTAAGGAAAACTTAAAAAATAAATGGAAAGGAACGTATGATAGTGAGAGGAACTATTTGCATAATGTAATTTCTATTTTATAAAATTAATTACATGTAAACTTTTATGACGATCAATAAATGATAATGTAGTAAAAATATGAGTCCTTTTAACGAAAAAAATTCAGAAATAGCAAATATAATAGATATAATAAGGCTATATAGCTATAGTTTCGATAATTGCGTTTTATAGCTATAGTTTTGTTTGCTATGGAGGTTGCGGTTGTATATTTTTGCATGTTTGTATATTTCGCTTGTGAATATACAAATAGGGTAAGTATATACAAATTTTGCATTTATACATTTAGGAATTTTTCAGAACTACGTTTGTATATTTCGCTTGCCAATATACAAACAAAGTAATTTATTATGAATTTTTCATAAATCGTATACATATAGCTAGGGTAAGCATGTACAAAATTCAGAATTTATACAATCAGGACCGAATTATACAAATTCTAAATTTATATAAATCAAGTGAATTATACAAATCAGGCGAATAACAAAATTGGGTGAAACTATAATTGCGAATTAGAATTTCGCTAATCGTAGCTATAACATTTAATATGATTTAAATATTTGCTATTCTGCACAATTTTTCCTTTTTGTAATACTGTAAAAAAAAAGAGGGTTATTTGGCTGGTGAGATCAATATTGATTTCAGACATAATAAGATAATTTTATCTCATATTTTTTTTGGCTTTTCACTCGGTGTCCGGAGCCCACATTAGAGCTCCGATTAAATCTGAATCGCGCACAGTAGGGGTTCAGGTTGTGCTCCCAACAGGATTTTCTCCATACCAGAGCTCGAACTCGAGACCTTTGGTTAAGGGTAAAACACTCCACCAGTGAACCACAACTCATGTAAGGAATAACAATCTCTGTGTTACAGTAATTTGGGAATTCAAAAGTTAGTTAAACATTGTTAAGCTACAATAATCAGTGTAGTGGTAGTTAGTTAGATGTTAGTTGTAACTGATTTTGTTAGATGGAATAAGTCAGTCAAGTTCTTTATAAATAGACATTGTAATCATCAATTACATTCATATATGGAATATACAGAATTATCTTTCTCTTTCTAATCTCTCTCTTTCTATTCTTCTTCTTCTTCATTACTAACTGTTTTCTCGAGAAATCCTGAAACAGTGCTTTGATCCTCGAATTCATTGCGAATTCCTACAATCGAGTAACATTGGTATCAAAGCTACTCTATCCTTGGATTTTAATGGCGAAATGAACTAGATATGTTGTTAATTCTCCAACAGAAATGGGGGAAGGGAATTGAAGGAAATGATGCAGAATTTGGCAGAAAAAATGGGAACGTTGGCAGGGGAAGTTACAAACCTAAAGAGATTGGATCAAGTGGTCATGGAATTGAAGGAACAGTTTGTCACTAATCGAGAATCTGGGAGGGAGAAAGCTCTTATGGAAGATGGTCCTTCGACTGCAAGACATTTCGATAAGAGAAATCACCACTCTGAAGGAAGAAGTCACAAGCCCAAGAGTCCTACTAGTTACAACAACCATCATTCAAACTTCTCAAGATGGTCCCGAATGGAATTCCTCAGGTTTGCAGAGGAAGATATGAGATCGTGGTTGTTCAAGATTGACCAATTTTTCTCTATGGAGAATGTAGATGCAGAGGAAAAAATAACAGTAGTTGCAATGCAACTGGAAGGAGAAACCATCCAATGGCATCTTTCTTTCATGAGATACAGACAATACTTACAACCAGCTACTTGGAATGAGTATGTGATGGCTATGATGGAGAGATTTGGGACAAATTTTGATGATCCCATGGAGGAAATCAAGAAGATCAAACAAGTGGGGAGTGTTAAGGAATATTAATCAGTGTTTGAAGGAAATCTGACTAGGGTGAATTTGTCACAAGAGAATGCAATCAGTTGCTTTATTGGAGGGTTAAAACATGAGCTGAACATTGTTGTGAAGATCACCAATTCGACTTCTTTATCACAAGTATATAGGACTGCAAGAATGCAAGAAGCATACTTAACTGCTGTGATACAGCCAATATCTAATCAGTCTCAGATAGGTGCAAAAAGATTCACGAACCAAAGGATTGATAACAATAAGCCTTTGTTATCTACACCTGGTACAAATACTTCTAGTTTTTCTAAGGCAGTAAATAGAAGAACTTTGAGCATGGAGGAGAAGAATGAAAAAAGGGCAAAGGGGTTATGTTACTTTTGCAATGAAAAATGCATGCACGGGCATAAGTGTAAAAATTCCAAGCAGTTGTATCTGTTGAAAGTGGAAAAATTAGAAGAAGGGCAAGATTCAATGCAGGAACAAGTTGGGGAATTACAAGAGGAACAGAATGAACAACTAGAGTTGGGGTTACCTGTGGAACACATGGAGATCTCTATGCATGCCTTAAATGGATCTTTGGGATTTAGAACCTTGAAGGTGACTGGTTATCACTCAAAAATGGCATTACACATACTAATTGATACAGGAAGTTCTCATAACTTCATTGACCCTGATCTGGTCAAGCAATTAGGGTGTGAAGTGGAGTCTATTAAACCTGAGATGGTAGCCGCAGCAAATGGTAACATGCAGGTGGACAAGATGATTTATGTGACTTGGTTACTACAAGAAGCGGAGCTTTTTGCTGATTTTCTATTATTACCTATAGGTTCTTGTGAAGTTGTGTTGGGGGGTCCAAAGGCTATTAATGTTGGGTGATATCAAGTTAAATTTCAAAAGTTTAACAATGGAGGTTTGGTATAAGGAAATGAAGCACTTACTCAGAGGGTCTGGCAGTCAAGTGTTAACTCCTAATGCTGGGAAACTGACTAAACACTCTGGAAATTAGTCTCAACTTTGTATGATTCAAGTAATTCCTCGGGGAAGTAATGAAGCCAGATGGCATCCATTAGACGTAGCAACTGATAAAGATCTTGAAGAAGACCCTACGCTACTAGAGGTATTGTCAGAATCTTCTGCATTATTTGAAGAACATGTTGGTTTACCACCTTCTAGAGGTGTATTTGATCATAAGATTGTGTTGCATTCTAGAGCTGAACCTGTGAATAAGAGACCTTATAGATATCCTTAAGTGAAAAAGGATATTATTGAAGGTCTTGTACCCTATGCTTCTAGCATATTTGAACTCTTCACTTCCATAGCTCCGGGGTAAGATAGTCTTGATGAAGCTACTTCGGACTAAAGGCCGTAAGAACTCGAGGCTGCAGTCCTTTTGCATCACCAGTGGTATTAGTAGGCAAAAAGGATGGCACCTGGAGACTATGTGTAGACTATAGAGACTTGAATAAGTTTACAATAAAGAACAAGTTTCCAATCCCTATTGTAGAAGATCTATTGGATGAACTAGGAAGATCTAAAATATTTTCTAAAATAGACTCAAGTTCTGGATACCATCAACTAAGAATGGCAAATGAGGATGTACCTAAGACTGCTTTTAGAACACACTCGGGACAGTTTGAATACTTAGTCATGCCTTTTGGTTTATCAAATGCCCCAGCTACATTTCAAGGTTTGATGAACACTGTGTTCCAGAATTTTCTAAGAAAGCATGGTGTTTTTTGATGACATACTAATCTATAGTAGAACTATGGAGGAACACATATTACATCTTAGGTCTGTTTTTTTTGAAAATGGTGGAGCATCAACTATTTGCCAAGAAAAGCAAATGGTTCTTTGGTGTCCATAGAATTGAATACCTTGGTCACTTTATCACATCAGAAGGTGTTTCTACCGATCCTCAAAAGATCAAAGCTGTGAGGGATTGGCATGTCCCAACTACTCTTAAGCAATTAAAGGTCTTCTTAGGCTTGGCTGGTTATTATAGAAGATTTATACAGGGATTTGGAGTTATTTGTAAACCTCTTACTGATCTAACTAAAAAAGATAAATTCAAATGGAACCATACAGCTCATGAGGCATTTTTGCAATTAAAGGAAGCTTTGACTTAATCTCATGTATTAGCTTTACCTGATGCCAACAAAACTTTCATTGTTGAAACTAATGTTAATGGTTATGGAATTAGTGTTGTTCTTATGCAAGAGAGACATTCTATAGCCTTTATTAGCAAAGCATTATCTCCACGACATGTTGCTATGTCAGTTTATGATAGAGAGTTATTGGCCATTGTCCAAGTTGTTACTAAGTGGTCTCAGTACTTGTTAGGTCAGAGGTTTATTATAAGGACTGATCAAAGAGCTTTGAAGTACCTTATGGAACAAAAGTTGCACACAAACTCACAATTATTGTGGTTAACAAAGTTGATGTCATTTGACTATTTTATTGAGTACAAAAAAGGAGTTGAGAACAAAGTCGTTGATGCACTGTCCAGAGTTACCGGGGATGAGTTACTTGCTTTGGTGATTTCCCCAACCAACACTGATCTCTTTCAAGCTATTGTGGATAGTTGGCACTCAGACCCAGAGCTTACACAGATGATTGCAGATTTACAAGCTAATCCTGACTCTTATAGGCAGTTTACTTGGTTGCAAGGCCAATTAAGAAGGAAAGGAAAACTAGTGATTGGCAAGGTGCAGAGTTTAAGGAATTACATTATGTCCCTATGGCATGCTGGCCCTCTAGGAGGTCATTAAGGTGTAGAAGCTACCCTTAAGACATTGTTGACACTATTTTATTAGAGGAACATGAGAACAGAAGTGAAGGATTTCATTCAAAGGTGTGATATTTATCAGAAGAACAAATCTGATTTAGCTGCTTACCCTGGGTTGTTACAACCATTACTTATTCATGAGGTGGTGTGGTCTCAAATTAGTATGGACTTCATTGATGGTCTTCCCATGTCTTGTGGCTGTGAGGTGATTCTGGTGGTC